TCAGCTTATGGTGACAACAACAAAAACAAAGGTGTCGAAATAATTATTTGGCATTGCATTGAAAAGCTTAGCTTGGCAATAGTCACATAAATGTGACGAATAGTGTCGATAGATGTAAATAAAAATGTGCGTATAATCGCGTAGTTGTAAGTCGATTCCTATCGACTCATCTTTTTGGTGAATTTGTCATAAATTATTTGCCAATCGATCGGCTGTCTCTCCGTGCGGCAGCATCTCAAATGACTGAGTCATAATTTCGCTGAAATGCACAAACAAACCAACAATTTCTACAGATGAATCAGTTGGCGCATGCTGACAAAGCACAAAATTGCAGCCGCTTTCAATGTATCGCACACATCGGTCATATACATATATATGTATGCATGTGTACGTGTATTTGTATGTGTGAGTAAGCCATGTTCCCTGTTTGTATCTTTGCCGCCTGCTTATCTTATTTGGGTTAACCAGCCAAGCATAATGTAACGGTACAAAGTGAGCCGTTCGGCCCGTTTGCCAAATGCAAGCGCAAAACGAATAACAACAACAGCAACAAAAGAAACACACACACACACACACAAATACACAAACTTATTCACATACACATACATACAAACAAAGGCAGTCAAAGCCTAACACACAAAGTGCAAAACTTTGTTTTTGTTTATGGAAAGAGCGAAATAAAATGCAAATAAAATGGAGGACGGCAGCCACAGTAATAACAACAAAAACAACAACAACAAACAGCACGTGCAGCGTGGAGCGTAAAACGTGTGGAGCTCATTGTGAAGTCGAGTGGAGTAGAGCGGCGATACTTGCGTTTTACATACTACTACCTCCCAGTACTATGTATATACACAAAGCAAAAAATATATATTCCTATTGTTAACAGGAAATATAAATATATTTTCATAATGTCATTCACAGATCCATTTACATATGGCTTGGAATAATAAGAATCTAAATAGAAAAGTTTAAAAATTATTCACGATTCAGTTGCACAATCCCGTTCATTATAGGCTCATAATATATGTTCTTATGATTAGATGAAGCACAGAAGCTTGCTTCATTATAGGTTCATAATATACTATATCTTCTTTGGTTAGATAAAGCTTAGAATCTTGCCGACATGAGCAAACTCTTTACGATATAAAAGGTTCTTGGATATTATTTAGTGAACGGAAAAAGGGGAAAATGTACTTTTAGTATTCCAAAATGTTTCAAAAATATTTATCAAATCTAATCATCTAATATTGAAAGCTGGTTAAAAAAAAATCATGTGCGCCTTGAAAAACATGCAAATAATTCAAAATTTTGCATTTTATTTGTTTATCTTACATTAACAGATTTAACAACATTCTACTAATAAAATTAATTATAACTATTGGCTCAGGCCTTAAAGGTATTCCAATCGCCATCATTTTGGAAATATGTAAATATTTAATCGATCTTAAGCTCTTCACACCTCACACCATCAATGCAGCCAAAACAAAATGTTCGATGTTAATGGTATTATAGGGTATTCATATCACAGGTTCCTCGTCATTTCATCGACTTAAGATAGAATGATTTGAATTCATTTTCTTATTAAATACAAGTACATCTGTGCGTCCGTTTCAATAAAAAAAATTAGTTAATTTGAAAATAGTTTTACGAAATATCATGTATTTTAGTATATATAGTACATTAAATAGAAATATCATTTAAAAATTTAAGTTTAAAAAGTTCAAGTAAAAATTTAATTATTTCTATAAGTACCTAATAATCTAACACAAATACTCTTCAATTTTCCCAAATGAGTCCATCAACATTTTATGAAATCGTTGACCAGTACGACAGTTTTTGTTCCAGTGTAAATAAATTTGTATCTCTGCAGCAAACACCATTCGTAGCAGAAGTAAGTTTGAAGTGTTTTTGTCAATGCAAATTGTTTGCCGTTGGCGTGGGTCTTAACGCTTCAACTCCAGCAATTTAGCATGAAGATTGAATGAATTTAATTGCAGAACGACAACAATGGCAACAACAACAGCAACAACAACAACTACTACAGCTAGCAATTGAAGTGCATTGTCGTCTTTCCTACATGCAAATTGGCAGACTAGAGACAATGAAATTATGCAAAAACTTGACTCTTGGCTTCGCTCTACGTGAGAATGACTTTGTCTAATGTCAAGCGTTTTGCATGCACAGCCAAGCAGAGTAAAGTCAAAGCTCAATGCACTCACAACAGTCCATAATTGACAAAATAATCATGAACTTGCTGAGCGCAAAGTTTGAAAGTCATGCAACATGCCACAAAGATGCACACAAGTTGGCACAAGTCGAAGTCATTGGCTGGCAGAGTTCGACTCTGAAGAGTCGCCTCACAACAAGTAGTGGACATACATCTGTATGTACATACGTATGTACGAGTTCAAATGTGTGTAGTGGCTACGGTGGTGCGTTTAATTCAACTTAACCGCAATGCTATTGAATAAACTGTAACATGAAACTAATTGAAATTTCGGTCAACCGCAGCTAGCTAAAAATCAAAAGCCAAGCATTAAATATAAACGATGGTAGCCAAGACTCACTCAGAACTAGAGATGTGAGCGTGAGTGCAACAAAAACATTTCTCACAGTCAGACAAATACATATTTTTCTATTCTATTCGTGATTTATTGAATTTCAAAACTTTTGTGATTTGCTTCTCTCAAACTTTCTAAGTCGGGCACATTCATGAAACTCATGTGCATAATTGAAAGTTTCTTGAATTCTAGGGGTTTCAAAGTTGAAGCGATCCAAAGAATTTGCGAAAATTCATTGTGATTTGGATTTGGAGACTTAGCTGCCTCCCAGCAATGTTCTCTTGGATCCACCGTTTTTTTCTGGCGTTCTCAAGCAGCTTTTCACGCGCATCTCTTCTCTGAGTAGGAGACCTACACATACATACATACATATGTACACACACAATAGCATGGCATTATAACATCGAGGCATGCCAACAATTTCCACACATTGCACACAAATAATAAACAACAAAAAACCAAAACAGAATCTTGAATAAAACGAACTGAAACTAAACATACAAATGCTCGAAATGCAAAAGCGTTGTTGAATAATTGAACGAAACCCAAATGGAAAAATTTGTTTACAATTTGTACAACGACTGCGTATAAAAGTGTGTCTGCGTGTGTGTGTGTGTGTGTGTGTGTGTGTGTGTGTGTGTGTGTATACAGCACAACAACAAAAAACATAACAATGCTGGCCATCAAATGCCGGCGCATTGTGACAGTTGACTAACTCTTTATACAGTTCTCTTCCGTCAACAACAGCAAACAGGCCATCATATTTACATATGTACTTACATATGTATGTGTGCATGTGAAATATTTAATTGCATTTATAAATTTGTTATAATTTGCTTTAGTTGCGTCCCGTGGCAACACTTAGTTAACTGTTTGCCAACAATTGCCTAGGCAAATAATTCAATGAGTGTGCATTTCAAATAACAATAATAATAATACATAACACAAATTTTTATGAACCGATGCATTAAAATAAGCAAAATTGGTTCTATCATGATATGTTGTGATGGCAGGAAATTAATGTTTGTATTGAATTACATAAAACTTTTTTGACATTGCAAATATCTCATTAATTTATATATGTAATTTCCAACTCTTTTCATGACATGTCACTTTTTTCAACACCTTGCCAGCAGCTTTGTTCACTGTATAATATTCCTCACTGTTTTAATTGCAGCAGTCTTTTTGTTTAATAACAAAAAAGTGATGGTTACATTTTATGCAAGATATCGCAGTATTTTTACACATTTGTCCGCTAATACTAAATTCTAAATTTGATTAGAAAGATGAAGAAAATTGACTACTTACTGCCGATTGCTAATATCATAATAAAAATCTATTAATTGATATCACAACATCAATATCATAATCAAATATAATTAAATGAAATTTAAACTTTCATTACAGTGCCTTTCTAAGGGGGACCCAAAACTATATGTTGACTACGAGTATTTTCGTATTGCCCAAAATCTAAGCCATAACAGTAGCATTTTGGCATAATTTCTGGTAAGTGTTGAAAGTTTCTTCTCACGCGCATCATTTATAAATCCATAGCCAATTCCATCGGCTTTCGCAAAACTTGCTATAATTAGCAAAAACGAGTTTGACAAAAATGGAGCCAAAGAACGGTTCAAAAAAGCACCAAAACTTCAAGAAAATATCTTGAATTCAATTAGTCATCTTAATGTTAATTCACATATAGTCTAATAATAGCTAAAACGCGTACTCGTATATACTATATTTGGTTGATCAAAAAATGATATGGCGGTTCCATTATTTTAAGTACATGATACATTCTTTCCGTTGTTTTTTTTTTTTGCTGACAAATTTTGCTTGTTCGTTTTTCTGTTAACTAATCATGTTTAGTAATAAATTTTTTAAAATATTAAAAATTTAACTAATATACAATATTTAGTAAATAAGCAATTGAAACTAAAAACGGTATGCATTTGGGGTTCACTTTACGATTTTCTGCCTACTTAAAGATTTAAAGGAATTGTTTAAAAAATGTTTCAATAAAATAAAGTGAATTTATTGTTTCAATTTAAAAATTTCTTTTGACGCAGCGTTCTGGTATCAAATTCGACAACAATGATGTATATAAAATTTCAGATATCTTTTTAATTCAATTAACATATTGCCATAATACGAAGCAATACTTTTGCTATTAAGTATTTGTTTTTGTTATATTTTAAAATGTTGCTAAATCGAAGCAAAAATCATAGGCTATGATGCTGTTACAAATTTCAAGGTGAATTCAATTCTTAAACTGCTTATAGCATTCTGAAAATGTTTATTTTTAAAATCATTTGAAAATGTTGACCAGCTTCATAAACTGCTCAGCACTTTTAACTTCAACTGAACACGGAAGCGGAATTCTGTTTCACCTCAATTGTATTTTCACTTAAAATAAAGAGTGTAGAAATTCGCACTCACCTTTGCCTGGAACGTGATGCCATGGAAGAAGGCCTGCTCGGCATGGAGCGGCACACGCAGATCCTGATCATCCTGCACCAAATCGTAGGGGGTCGATGGCATTCTCAGATAGTTCAATAGCACCGATTCGGACCACTTGTAGTATCATGAAATTGTTTTCATCTTTTTCGTGCTACGCTTGTGCAGTGTATGGCGCAGCTGCCATAAAAAACCACTTGGCCCACGTTTCGCTTGATTTTGGCTAATGTTTTTCCGTTGGCTCATGCAAATTTTTGTGGAACGGTCTGCTCGCAGCAAACTGTGATTGATTTGTTATGTTTTCTAGCTGGATGGCGGTGCTTCTCACCACTCTCCTCCCTCCTCTTTTGTGCTGTTTTCTCTATCTTGTTGCTATTGCTATTGCTTTTTTTGTTGCTGTATTTGAATCTGAATCTGAGCGCTTGCTTAATCTCAATTTATGTGCTTGTGGTCTCTGTCGTCGTCGCAAATTGAATTGCGTCAGTTGGATGCTGTTCAATTCTTTTGCGCTTTATTATGAAATCTCAGTCACTGGCCAATTTGCGCTGCGGTGTGCCACGACTCTACGGCGAGCCCGTGGGGAGCTGCAATATAGAAGAGAAGAAAAATTGAATAAAGTAATAAGTATATGGTATATAGCAGATAAATAGAAAGGCCATAACTTGTAGTTATTTGTAATCAAAGCGCGCTTAATTGTCCAAACGTTACGCCGTTAGACTTTGACTATTTAAATGACTCATTGATAGCTAAATTAAGCTTTTAGAGCTTCGCTTTGAGTCAGCGCTCGCATTCATTGGAATAATGCTAATTTACGTCGTTTGAATCATGCACAGATAGTTATAGCAACAACAACGTCAATAAAGAGAAGACAATGACACCCAATACGTAGGTGTTTCAGACACACGAGCGGCACGTTTACAACGTCATACATCGCCCAAACCCTGATCGGAATATCAAAAAAAAAAAGTTGCCAGTAAAATTCCACTCATTAGCCCATCGTTCGCAAATTTCTGCGAAGGGTAATCTTCATGGTGAATCTGCTAGTCTCATGAATAATGTTGTACTCATTACTTCATTCAGTCACTGAATGACTAAATGATTCATCATCGCTGACTTAAAATATAAAGACTTACCTTTGGTAGTAAAAGACAAGGCTTTCATAAATTCAACCCACAAAGGAGGAAAATATTTCCTAAGCACATTTTCAAATAAATTCAAAATAAATCGAACCATTCCAGATAGAGACAGACTCTCGTCCGATATCGATACAATGAGAAAAGACTCTGGATTCAGCATTATAAAGGCGAATCGATTATTAGGCGATTACCAGGTCACTGCACTGATAAAGCCACTCTAGCCAATGTGAACGTTTTAGATAAACAACAACACAATAAGACACATATGAAATGGTGGAAAACGTCTCACAAACACACCTTAAAATCTTCAGCTGCTAAAATATAGCGCGACTTAAAAATATTTTTCAAAATTGCGTCACTTATGATTTTTTCTTCTTTATTCAAAAAGTGTACAGTTTAAAAATTATTTGCATCACCAAAAATAAAAATTAAATCCGGTTAAGTACACTTTCTTTCAAAATAATAATTATTCAGCGAGCCTTTAATCGTTTAGTTGTCACCTATTATTAATTCCAAAATAAATAAATACCTTATTTTGTATTAAATTAATTAATTAAATCGTGGGAAATGCCAGTTTGGCATTAAAAAGAATCTAAAATATTAAATTATGAACACATTTTTCAACTAAATTACACTTTTGCATTAATTCTTTAATTTGAAAGAAGATTTGAAACAAGTAAACATTTGCATTGACTATTTTAATAGTTTCTTAGCAAACTTACAAATTTCTTTAATTTACCTCTCTTAGGTTGATGGGCTTGATAAGTTCTTCTCATTTGGAATTAAAAGGTGAAGTAAAACAAAAAAAAAAAAAACATTTTGAGATGTTGGGCTTAGCCCAACAATTACAGGAAGTGGCATCGATTTAATTGAAATTAAGTTACAACTTCCACGCCATTCCATGCAATTGAGGCAATTAACGCGACTCTCAACTAATCAGAGATGGGCAGACCGTATGCTCATAATGCGGGCTAACCAGCTGCTGAGCACGTTTATCAACTGTGTTCGTTTGATGGGTCGGTCGCTTTAATGAAGTCAGAAGCACAAGCTGCGACTCCAACTCCCAACTCGAACTTGCACTCAGTGTCAACAGCTGTATACGAGCATAGTTTGCTTCTCTTTTGTTTGTTGTTAGTGCTGTTGTTGTTGTTGCTGTGGTTGTTGCTGTTGTTGTGAACCAGCGTGGGGTCTTTGTTTTGAAGCTGCCAGTCTCAGTTGCCGGGCCAGAGGGTCATGGACGTTTACGCGTGTAGCTGACAAGGAAGGCAGGCACCGACACAGAGACAACTACAACAAATTTGTATACCCTGCACTGCAAAATGTGCACCCACTAGAAGGAATGTTACATATGCATATACATATATGATCCGCATGACGATAGTTAATATGTCGAGACAATCCATGCCAGATAAAAATATTATATAGCTGTCTTAAAACATTATTATGTGTATATTAAAGAAAATATTGCAAACAAACTGCATTTGAAGCATAAGGGTATGGTTCGTTAATGGTAATTGAATATACTCTAAAAAAATAATATTATATGGACTAGTGCGTCTGTGGGAATTATAGTTCGCGAAGGGAAAACTTTTGTGCAGCAAAGTAGAGTGAAGGGTATGTGGATAGTTTCGGTACGAATGTTACTTTTTTGCTCTTTGTATCTCTTTTAAGCTCTTTCCCTACTCTATTGCGTGCTTTCTCGCCCTCTCCCGCTCTCTCTCTCTCTCTGTCTCTCTCGCACGCTTGGCTGCGTGTTGTATTTCTGTTGTCATCGAAATCTGCATAAAAATGCTGCGCCAGCATTTAAGGAAACCCAAAGTCATGCGGATTTGCAAAGGCTTGCTCTTCCCCTCTCCTTCTCTCTTCCTCTATCTCCCTCGCGCCCTCTCCCTTACACACACTCTCTGTCTGTCTGTCTGTTTGTTTGTTTATGTGCAGTCACATTAACTTATCAATTTCGGGTGTCAATTGAGTTCAAATCGCAAACAGCTGACGATTTTTCTTCGGCAGCGCCACAAACGAGGCCAGTGGGTGACAGTTGACACTTTTTGGGTTGGGCCGAATAAATCAGCTTAGCTTATTAAAGGTCGGGGCTTTGTCGAGCGGCTTAATGCATTTGACACGAACATGAGCTTGGGAGGCGTGTCAATTTTATGCGGTCAACTTGAGTGGCGGCGGCTACGAATTTTTGGCATGCTTTTAAAACAAAAACATGAAAACCCGGAAAAACACTTACAATTAACCTCAAGTCAAAATCGTACCTAAGCACATAATACTTATACATATATACATTGAAGGGGTATCAAAAAATGGGAAAAGGGAGCGCCCAAAAATTCAAAATATTAGAACATTTTGAATAAAATGCTAGTTTGATAATCGCACAGCCCTGAATTTCCACTCAGTGGCCGTCTTACAAAGTTCATTGTCTTCGACTTCCAAACTCAAGCTGCATACAAAATGCAGCCCAACTGGCCAGCAATCATTCATCATCAAACTATATGTATGTATACATATACGAGTATACACGTATTTATAGGCAGCTCTTTGCTAGGCCGCCATTTTGAAGCCACTGTGGCATATCAAAGCTACTACCAAAAGGTTCAAGTACCTCCAAGACTAGACAGTCGAGCTGCATATGCGTTGGGCCAACGTGCGCTCCACGGCATCGCCATAACGTTAGCGTACTAAAAATGCTAGAAAAGTGCATCAATACCATTACGATCGCAGCACTGTCTGTCTTCTGTCTGTCTGCCCCGAAAGACGCCAACAACTTGTTAGTTTTCCTACACACTCAGAGGGTGTTGGTGGCAAAAGAGTTACGGGGAAATAGCAGACTCAGTTGCAACTGCAACGCCCGCTGTACTCAGCAACGTTTTGCACTCAATAATGCAACAACAAGACAGTGTCTGACATAAGTATTTTGATAACTGTAAGTGGATTTTTTAATGACAATTTGTGAGCAATACGATTAGATGTTTAGAAATAGTTCTTCAAGAGTGACTTTAAATTAAAATTCCAGAAAAAGCGGACTACCATTCCACTCATTAATAGTCACAAAATAATAGGCTTCTCGTTATTCAATTTAATTTGCCCAAAAACCTTAAACTATAAATTATATTATGATAATATTAATTTCGTTTTTAATTTGTATTATAAATTTTAAATATTCGTATATAAAAGTATGAAAAGTAAGACTAACGATATTAACTTTGTAATTAGTTTCTTATCATTATCGTAAACACTTTTTCCATGCACTGGACCATAGAAGAGACGTACAAATTTTAAGTAAATTGCTTCATTAAGATTATTGATATTTTGCATTTACGAAAAGCCAAATGATTCAACCACAAATGAATATGAGGTAAAGAGACGTTTAGTTTTTCAAGACAAGCGATTTACTAAATATATTTCTCATATTAAACAGTACTTTACTTTATTTTCAAAAATGTGTAGGGTTAGACAAAAATAACCTTGAAGAAGGAATATAGTTTACAATAGGAACATATACTTAGGGTTAAGGTAGAATAAGAAAAAAAACTCACTTTGGGTGACCAACAAAAACAATGCAAGCCATGTAATCACGGCGGTACGTGCTTTCTTAGAATATTGAATTAGAATATTATTCATGACTAACCCCATACCTGCCTATGTTTGCTTTCTTATCTCATTGCAACCAAATAGATGTGCAAGCACAGTTTTAAATGAAAACAACTTCCACTCTCCACCAACACTAGTGTGTTAACATACTTATGGCCAGTAGTTTACTCTGCTGGCCCCTGCACCCACCTATTGCCGCTGCAACTTGAAGAGCCACCATCAGTTAACAATACGCCTAGAACTTTGCTGCCGCTTTCTATACGCACTCATACCCACATACACATACATACATACTAGTAAGGGTATGTATGTATGTGCATCGGTATATGTATGTTTTCTATGTGTTCTGCCCAACTACTTACTACCTAACCCATATGGTATAGATAAATATATATACGAGTATATTGGTTTTGTATTTCTCTTGTGCGCCCGCACTATCAAAGCTCTGCGCATGCGCAACAGCAGCAACAACAACAACAACAGCAGCAGCAAGAAAAACAACGCAAACTCGTATCGCATGCAAGTGAATGACTTGCGGACTGACGCGAGCTCGGGCTCGGGCTCGAGCTCAGGTTCGAGCTTCCAAGAAGTGTGGAGCAGAGAGAGGAACCGGTTTTCGGTGTTGTTGCCGCTGCTGCTGCTGCTGTTGAAGTCAAAGTCTTGGTAACTTACACGCTCACTTCCTTTCCGGTTCTTGCATGCAACAAAAACAACAACAAAAGTCAGCACCAACAACAAAAAGCAGCAACAACAGCAACAACAAAGTGCAGTCAGCTGCAATTTTTGTATAATTCGCATGCAGTTTGTCAAGTTTTTTTTGCTCGCCTGCACTTCTGATACACGCCATACAT